TAGAATGAGTGAGGAAAGGCATCGTCATCTGAAGGAACCACCTGACCCCCCATGGAGCTATATCTCAAATTTCAAATTAAAAAAGATTCAGGTAAGATACAAGATCAATTTTTTGATATTGAAGAAGGAAAAAGATGGAGGTAGTGTTGAGGGGGACGATGGCCAAAATATGGCTCACTGATCACTTTAATTAGACTAAGTTCCTCTTTGTTTTATTTATGAATTTACTTTCTTAGAATTGCTAGGGCGCTGTTGCTAAAACCTTTCTTGGTAGAATAAAAGACCTGTTAAGGAATTATAATTTTGATATTTTTGTCTTATCGAAAACTAGAATTAATGGTATCAAAACTGATAAGCTCTCTTGAAAATTGAGTTTTTCTTGATGAATAAGGTTGGAGGCTACTGGATATGTTAGTGGCATTTAACTTTTTTAGAACTCTGACGCTTTTGATATTTCTTATTACTCCTTATTGACTCAATTTCTCCACTACTCTGTCTTGAGGGTCAATGATAACATGATATTTTGGTTAACTTGCATGGATAGGGAACCAAATTATCAACTTCAAAAAAAACCTCTAGGATGATTTGGTTAATATTGGGTCTAATATGAATGATACATAATTGGTAATTGGAGACTTCAATACTTATTTGTCTATCAATGATAAATTTGGTAGCAATTCTTTCAACAATATAACCATGACCTAATTGGAGAGTTGTCTATATATGACGCAATTAATTGATATTAAGTTTTATAGAGATAGATTTACATAGAGCAACAAATAGAATCTCTAAACATATAGATTGGGCTTTTGCAAATATTTCCTAGCAAAGCATTTTCTCGAAGACACTTAACCATCATCTATCTAAATTTGATTCTGACCAAAGACCCCTCCTCCTTAAAGGGCCTATTGACTATAATGCTCAATGCAAGAAAGGCCCCGTTTTGGTGTCTGGCTATCTTGTTGTTATGTTGACGTTTAGAGAAGCTAATGCCAATATTTTACCCAGGCTTTCTCATGATGTAGTTTATCCATATTGGGCTTTTGATCATCTTCTACTTTGTTGTCATGAGGTGGTTAATGGTTATTTGATTTCTAGAATTTTTTGGTTTTTGTTTGTTTTGCATATGTTAATGTAACTATTTGGTATGCACACACGCACAAGGGTGCATGCGCGCGCGCGCGCGCAGAGAGAGAGAGAGAGAGAGAGAGAGAGCCTTTTTTATTCAAAGAACAAAAGGCATTTTTAAAAATTTATATTTTTATTTTTGAAAAACAAAGTTATAAAATGTTATTATTGAATTCTATTAACTATCAATATGCGTAACAATGTCTCAAATTGTCTTATAATTTGAGACAAGAGAGTAATTGATGAAAGAAAAATTCACATTCAAAGACCTAGTAAGAAATTTATTTGCAAAAAAATACCAATATGGAATAAACTATTATTGAAATCAGAATACTTACTTTTTTTAAATGAAACTGTGTTATTAGTTGTTGTCTGTAAATAGTTTCTCCCTAAATATTTTTTTTATTACAAAATGAGATTAACAAAAAAAAAATAGCCTAGTTAGATTAGGCAAAGTCTGGGAGTGAAGTCACAAAACATCATATATCAAAAGGGCAAGACTTGTATGTTTGTATTCAATCAAATCAAGACATCTAAATTTTAATATATTTATAATATTAATAACAAAATTTGTTATAGATTAAATAATTTAAAAAAAAAACACACATTTCTTATTCAATTAGAAATAAGTACCTTATATATATAAAAGCAAGTATGTAAATTTTTCCCTTGTCAAAACAGCAAGGAGAGCATGGGAGAGCCAAGAACATGATACCTAGTTAGCATGTCGTGGAAAATATTTTCTATATAATAAGAATAGTGGCACATGATCAGTATCATGCTTTGTATAAGAACTTCAAAAAAACTCATGACCCAAAAAAAAAAAGAAGAAGAAGAAGAAGAACTTCAAAAAAAAATTCTAACCTTCGTTAACTTCAGAAATGATATTCAAATTTAGATGTTTAATTTCAAATTTGTTGCACCACATGTGTTCTTTTGCCTATGTAATTGAGGACATATAATTCTATGTGCAATTTTTATCACGTGAACCGAAGGTAAAGAGGGAAAAAAAAACAGAAAGCAAACAACAAAGGGACATGTGGACTAGCCCGTATTTTTCACTTTTCAGTTCTATTTTGATCACATGGAAGTAAAACCTACGTGTCTAATTTTTTCTATTTTTTTATAGAAGAGGGCTACGCCCAAAAATTCATGATGAAATTACCCAGTGAGAAATTGAAATCCAAGACTATGGAGACCAAGCTCTTCGAGAAAGTTAGAGCAACCTAAACAAAGAAGAGTAAGAAATCGCTTCCTTTGCCAAATTATCAGCCACCAGACTGTGATCTCCATCAACAAGCTGTATCTTCACGTCCATTTCCAGTTCAACATATAAATAATCTCCAGGAATACTAAGCTGCACGTACCGCTGTCGATATTTTTCCTTTACCAATCTCTTCAATTAGATTTTTGCAGTCAGATTCTAAATATCACATTCTTCAAGTCAAAGTCCCATATTAATCGGAGCTTTTTCAGTACTGCCCATGCCTCTGCTCCCTAAGCACAAGAAGATCCCAGACTGTAACAGAAGCCCGCAATACTGTAGCCATTATGATCTCTCAAGACACCACCACATCCAGCTCTATTGCATAGACTCCGATAAATGCTAATAGAAATCAAACAAATCGGCCACATTAAAGCAAAGCTCCAACCCGCACACTTTGCTTTCCATGGGCCGGATTGGAAGCAGAGGAGATAATGGATATCCGAGTACTGTGTGTTTTCTCTCCGAGCAAGTATGTTTTTGCCAACAAAAATGGGACCCACGCTTTCTTTCGCATTATTATATCAACGCAGATATGTGCTGGTGTATTTATATAAATCAAATAATAAAATATCACACTCACCATAAATTTGTTTAACCAGATCATGGGGCAATTACTCAATTTGAGTCTTTCAGGTATGAATGCTTTCTAATAAATTTTATATTATATAGTAAAATATAAAATATATAGGCACAGATTAATTAATCTGATAACATTGTACACAAAGAAAGTGCTTTTTTTTTTTTTTCAATACAGTGCCAACTTAAGATATGTTTGGTTTACTTCTCAGGTCATGAGTAAAAAACTCATTGCAATATCTATGTACATATTTAAATTTCAATTGGTATAATAAATTATGAAAATAATTAATTAAATAATAGATTTTAATCATAATTGATTATATTATAACGCAATTTGTTTGGATATTATTTTTTTAAAATTAATTTTAATATAATCAAAATGTTTGAATAATTTAATCAGAATCAATTTTAACTATATAAATTACTATATAATTTAATTTTTAAATACTAATATTAATTTTTTGAGAATGCAAAGTTTGAATTTTGTTAAGAAAAAAAGGAAAGAGAAAAGAGTTTGATTTTATCTTTATTAACTTTTGTGCCTCCTTTATAATTTTTTTCTCAAGCTTTTTTTTATAATTTTTTTTCAACATTTTTTGGCAAGCTTTTCCGCAACGCTTGGATTCTCAGCTTCGAGGAAAAAATTAATTTTGACCCAAAAATGGATTAACCAAAATATTGACTGTTTGGATAATTTTGTGGAGAATTGATTTTTTTACCCAAAAAATCGATTCTGCACCGTATCTAAACACACACTATATCCTGTTTGGATGGTTTTCAGCGCAACGCTCATTAGAAACGCTGGGGATATTAAATGTTAAAAATTGTCAGATTCTCTCTCCTCCTATCCTCTGACCTCACCAAATCGATCGCTCGTCTTTTTCTTGTGTTCAGCTCCCATTCATCCTCCTTGCTCTGTCTTGGTTTAGTCTTCACAAGCATAGTCATTACCTCTGCTTCTCGCCATCGTCGCCGTCCGAAGAGGTGCCAATGGAGGTCAACGACCTGATAATTCACATCGCCGACAAGGATGGCAAGTTCGTGATCAAGGCCCCGTTCTGTTGCAAGGACAGATCGGATCTGTTGTTGGAACAGATTAAAACCCATTAGCTGTTATTAATTATAATATGAGGACTAATATAAGAGAGGAGTGCGACGAGTGGAAATGGAAATAAAATTGAGAAAGAGGTGAGGAATAGATTGAGGAGCAGGGATTCAAGGGCAGCCTTGAACGGAGATGAAGAGAAGACATTCATAATTAGAAGATTAATTATAATATTATATTATAATACATATAACCTAAATATAATTATTATAAATATATAATTATAATATTGTCACAGTTTTTTCTGAATCTAAATATCCTAAATTATAATATTAAAAATAATTCTAATTGTATTATGTGAAATTTTTTTTATTAGTGTACTCTATTTTAAAAAAATTAATTTTAATATTTTTCCGTAAATATCAAATTAGTTTGTCATTATAAATCCCCACTAATTTTAAATTAAATTATTTAAATAATTTTTTTTTGTTTAACTAACTTAGAAAAAAAACATTCAAACATAAATTTATAATCAAATTATTTTTTCCTACCCTCAATTTGCTATGCCCTAACGTTAATTATAACTTGCGAATTTTTCAAACCTAAAAACACACTAAAACCATCAAATGCAGAGAGAACGAGAACAAGGGAGTCCTTCCGACCTTGACCTCCTGAGAGGAGCAGTTGATGTCGAAGAAGACGAAAAGCTGCAGGTCGGATTGTCGCATTGATTTAAAAAAAAAAAAATCAATAAACACATTTCTATATGGAACCCAAAAACAATTAATCTGATTTCAGTTTATAATTTTTTAATTAATTTAACATATTTTCTAAAAACCTTGCAACATAACGAGACTCACTGAAAACTGAGCAGAGAAATTTTCAAAAGCAGTTCGGATTGCATCAGTTGAATCTGATCCTATTTACAAAGAAACATGATTACAACCGGATCAAGCATTAAGCAGATCCAGACCCGAAACGTGTTCGAAACGCTTCATCTACTCTCAGTCTAAGTTTATTAGTCCAGAAGCATGCACCATCATCTCTCAGAAGTCATAATTAAATATATACAAATCTCGAAGTTACGCAAACGAGACACCAAATCATCGCCAGTTATCAGCATCAGGCAGTGGCGACCTCTTCCGGATCTTCAAAGTTCGGGTCCTTCGCATCCAAGGCCACGTGGTCGCGTCCGATCTCAGCCTCCGAGTAGCCGTGGCCGATCCAGGTGAACTTGCCTCCATGACCTCCCTTCTTGGGCGATCCGTTCATCCCCGTCGCCGATTTCCGATCCTTCCTCACCTCCGACGAGGGCTTGCCGTTTGATTTGAGGCTCTTGCCAGAGTCCTTCATCTTCTGGATGACTAATCAGCAACCACTTTACACAGAGCGAGTAAGGCAGACGCGAATCGGGATTAATATAGAAGGAAGAGGGGGGCAACGATGTCAATTAAGGAACGAGTAATTATGGGAAGAGTCTGTGGGCGGGTGGAAGAAGGGGATTGGGTGGAGGTTGGGATCGGATAAGAACGAGGGTGGGGGAATGCTAGGATGAAGTAAGGAACACGTGAGATCACGAGGCAGTGTGCAGTGACAGAAAATGCAGGATTATACGGTCTCAGTCTGTGACCAGCACGTGGCTTGGCTCTGCTCTGCCATGCCAGATTTTGACTTCTTCACCCCGTGTATCTCTTCTCCAACTGAACCGCACGCTGGCTCACTATCATCTTCAAGACTTCACGCATCAATGCATTTTTTTTTTTTTTTTCACTAAGAAAGGCAGACTGTAACCCAGAGGGGTGGAGGCAGGTAGACGAGCACGGTCACGGCGTTCCTAGCTTTTAAATTTTTTTAATTAAATATAAGAGTTTATATATTAATTTCTTAATTAACATATTATAAAAACATTAAGACGCTAGATATAAGTTTTATTTCAATTCTATAATAATCTTTTACATATATATATATATATATAGTCTAATTATTTTAATAGATTAAATATATAATTATCATATAATTTATTTATTTTTAACAAGATAATGTTACAGTTGTTTTTAAAATATTAGTGTTATTTAATTTTATTTTATTTTATATTTGATAAAAAAATTATAAAAATTATTATTAACAAACTTTGTTAAAGTGCTGCAACAAAAATCTCAAGATATATTGAATACCATGTGTTTAATATCTATCATAAACTTATTTATTCAAAAGTTAAGATATTATGATTAAAATATGTTCTTCTAAAATTTTTTTTTTCTGTAATGACCAAATTATTAAAATTTATTAAATGAATAATTTTTACTATGATATATTTAGATTGCATTGATATAAAAAATTTGTGACAATTAAGCATCATTACTGTATTGATATATTTATTTATTATAATTATCAATTAAAAAAATAAATAGTAAATTTAATTAGCAAATAATAAAGTTTTTAAATTGAATAGAACTTTTGATTCTAAGAAATATTTAAATTATTCAATGCTCATGAAGTAGATGCAATTTGTGCCAATTTAATAATAATTTATATTAAGAAATAAATAACTAAAAATTTTATTGTATACATAATAATTAATTATTTTTACATTATGAAAAATTAATAAAGCAAAATTAAAAATAAAATTGTATATTTATTTTCTTGTGTGTAAAATTAAAGATAAATATATACATTAAAATATTATATTATATTAATGATATATATAAATTTATTTTTTTCGACAATCATACATATTTTTGTCATCTCTCCTTAATAAATTTTTCGGAGTTCACCCTCGCATGACCTCTCGGCTCTCGCTTAGCTCGCATCTCATTAAGCTATAAAATTAGTGGCCAATTTTTTTTAGTGTTGAATCTTTCGTGTAAAAGATATTTGTTGTTTTAAATAGAATTACTTTTTAAAGAAAAATAGATGTGCGCAATAAAAATAATGTAAAGTAAGTAGGCAAATGATGTTCGCTGGGGCGACTCTGTGAAAAAAAAAAAAGAATTAGGTATGAAAAAAAAAAAGTGTTGTGCTTGTTCTTTTTAAAATGTAGACAATACTTTTCTTTAGGTTTATTTCACTTCTATTTATTTTAATGTTGGAGTGCAAACTGAATTGATGGTGAATTTTTTTTGGCTTCAAAATACAATGAAAACTTTAAATATGATTCGCTCATTCAAAACTCAAGCTAAGATAATAAATTTTTTTATAAAGTAATAATTTAATTTTATTCTTGATGTACTTAAAAATAAAGACAATAAATTTTATTAATTGAATATTAAAAATGACTGACAGTGAAAGATATCTATAGATAATGGAGTGATGTTTTAAAAGTAGTATATTTTAAATAATAAAAATCTTTACTTCAAGGTCATAATTCTATGTTGATTCATGAGCAATATAATTTAATAATGAAAAAATATACTTGTAAGTTGTTACAATTTTATTCAATTTTAAATTAAATTTTTGTAGTTCATTTTATTTTAATCAAGCCCTTCTAGTTTTATATATTATATATATGGATATCTAAATGTTAAAATTAATAATGAATTATCAAATTTTATAAAACAAAAATAGGCTTAGACTTTGTAGAAAATTTAATTTAATACTTTCACCCAAAATAAAAAAACTTCATTTAATCCACTATTTATATTTTTATTATAATTTTTTATGAAAATTCTAAGAAAACTTGTTATATAAATTTTGAATTAGAAAAATTATGTAATTAATTCTAAAGTCATATAATCATTTAATAAAGATATACAAGTTAATTTTTTTAAATAAAAATGTAAGGATTTTAACTTCTAGGGAATAAAAAAATTTAATTTGTTAAGCTATAAGAGATCAAATAAAATAAAATAAACTGTAGGGACTTAATTTAAAATTGAATAAAATTGTAAGGACCTGCATCCATATTTTCTCTTAATAATTAATATGACTAAGAGTTTATATATATATATATATATTTTTACTTTATTTACTAAGTGATACTTTTTAATTTTAAGATATTCTAAAAGTACTTTTAGAAATCACGAAACTGACCTCGATAACCATAAACAATTTGTAAAAACTCCTTAATTTATAAGGATGTCACTTTTCAAAAAATAGATCTTTTTTTTAAATATCCCAAGATATGACAGATAAAATGTGAATTATGGAGCTTATTTAAAATTTGAGCCATAACAAGGGAGAGTTTCTCTGTTCTTTTTTTTTTTTTAAGATAGCTTTTCGTTTTTTTTGTTTAGTATGTCCTGATTTATGACCCAGAATGTTCATGCAATTTACTTGAAGAAAATGAGCACCAATGGCGACATTAGTACATAATGGAGGGGAGAAAATCAATTTCACGGCCAATTTTCTCATAAATCTGATGACGTACTCGCCTTATTAACTAAACCAATCTTCAGTTGATATGGATATGGAAGTCTAAAGTTAGTCTGAATAGTCACATGGCCTGTCGTCGGGACCCAAAAAAAGGCCCATGCCAATAATTATGTTCTTTTTGGGTTTACTATGCTGGTGTGGCTAATCACACTAATGTGGC